TCCAAAAACAATAACAACAAAAATAAGTATTGCCATAAAGAATATTTGGTCTACAACCATACCATATTGGTGCGTTTTTGTGTGTAAATCTTCAGGTCCTGGACTATTTTTTTTTTAAAAAAACTGTTTTTTGGATCACAGAAACAATATTATGTGGTTTGGAAAAAAATGAGTGTGGTATTAAAATTGGAGAAAGAAACATCAGTAAGCCGTATTACGCTGATGTCATTACCCAGATCCTGCAAAGAACTGAAAGCTCTAGTAAGAAAGTGAAGGAACACAGTGAAAAAATAGGACTAAAATTAAATATGAAGAATATCAGGTTAATTACCACAGATAATGTCAACAGTTTTAAAACTAACAATGAAAATATTGAACTGGTGGATAGCTTTTTCTTGGTACACTCATTTATGTTCTGTTTTCTTTGTAACCAATGAATTTTCACTGCTTTGTTTCAGAGTAGCATACAGGAAAATAGGCAGGGAGTTAGGGAACATGATCTTTTCTCCATTGAATCCACAAGTACCCCAGTCTGTTAGACTATACCACAACTACTGATGATTTTGTTTTGATGAATTATGTGGTATCATTCACCTGACATTTCTGCATAGTATCAGGGGGTGGGGAGGAAGGAAATATAATGCATTCAAATATTTTCATTCATTGCCTCTTTGTTAACGCCGGGGTAGAACTGAATGGTATATTGCTTCAAATAGCACGAACGCCTGGAAGTTATTCCCAAATTTACTCATTCAGTATATTCTTCCTATATGCTCAAGCAATGCTTCTTGTGTTCTCATTTCTGAATTGCAACTCAGACATGAAACAAGGCTTGCTATTATGCTTGATTCTCTTTGAAAGAATCAATAGTACTCCTCAAAATAATTTTAGCTGGATCAATGAACAGTAATTTCATAAGAAAATAGTATGGAGGAAAATGGTATTCTTCCAGGTTTAGAACCAATGTTTGGGTTGATTGAGTAATCTTCCAGGCAGTTTGTGATGAACAAGTGAGAATTATTCAAGTGTAATTTTGTATGGGTGAGGAACTTCATTAGACTTTTGCAATAACTTGGTTGAATGGCATCTTCTTGCTGCATTATTTTATTTTTTCCAAAACAAATTAAACCATATTTTTCTTTCTTGGACAGTGAAAATCTCTACATTTCAGTTCTCAGGCAAAAGTTTTAAAAATTTAAGTGTTTTAAGAACGAGAATGAATGCAACTGTATTTGGGAGTTAAATAATTCACATCATTTAAAAAAAATCTTTTGTAACAGAATAGAATAGAAATAAGTGACTTATTTACAAAAAGTGAGCATATAATTTTTGTGAGCGAAGAGACTTCTGTATTTTTAGTTCATGTACTATTTCAATCTGACATTCATTCTCCATTCAAGACAGAGAAACTAAGATCCTTTATATATAGTAAATAAATAAAAAATATTCAGATTGTTCCCTTAAAAACATTTTATGGGTTTCTTTTTTAAAAAAAAACTAATTTGACATTAAGCAGTCTATTGCTGATCATGATTTTTATTTCTTTGAGGCTTAAAACTACATAGGTCAGGGCTTCCTGTCTTAGGAAATGAGTTTGAATCTACAACATACGGTATAATGACACCATTTCTGTTTCAATTTTTGTTTTCCTCTTGCTGATCAGTGACAAGTATTTGAAAAGTTGCTGCCACAGCTAGATACTTATCTGAAACAGCAAATATTTTGTCTTTGCTTTATGAAATGGAAACTGACCTTATTTTGAGCTATCTCATTAACAGATAACAGCTATACCATCTTTTCAAACAGGGTCTGTGTTCCTGTTTGATTAATTATTATAAAGCATTACAAAAACAAATGGAGATAGCTAAGGTTACATTTGGAGAGCTTTCAGTTGAAGTAAACTGCTGGTGAGCTTGTTCAAGAGTAGCAAGATATGAAAACGAGCATTTATGTGGCTCTGGATTACACATAATAGATTTCAACTTCATATTAATGTCATCAATTAGTTGTATCTAAAAGTAGATCTTTGAACAAATTTCTGACTGAGAATACTCTGTCCATTTTTTTGTCTGGTTGTGGCTATAAATAATTGCATTCAGTGTTACACATTTATTTTTCCCAAGTGGAACAATGATTTCTATCTCCATTATCCTGAACAAAATCCAATGTGATCAATCTACCTCAGGTGTCTCTAACTTGATTAAATTAGCGGATGATATACCTAGTGACTCATATTCTAACTCAGAGACATAACTGTTATCCTTAGCTACATGGTTACTTCACTGTATTTTAAAAGAATCATTTAATTTAAAACATATAAAAAGGTGACTTGCTATGAAGCAAACATTTCTCTCTTTATTTTCGGAGTACTTCTGGGTCCAACACAGAATATATAAGCATCTTTAGAAAATAAAATTAGTGGTTTTGTGTAAAGCTTGAGGTAACAGTGATCAATAAGGGTCTTCACCAGTCTGCCTTCACAAAAATAGGTAGAAGTAGTCCTTGACTTTCGACCATAATTGAACTCAACATTTCTGTTGCTAGGTCAAACAGTTGTTAAATAAGTTTTCTCCATTTTATGACTTTTCTTGCCAAACTTGTTAAGTCGATCACTGCAGTTGTTAAGTTAGTAACAGGGTTGTTAAGTGAATCTGGCTTCTGTATTAACTTTGCTTGTCATAAAGTCGTAAAAAATGGTCACATGACCCCAAGACACTGCAACCGTTATAAATACAAGCCAGTTGCCAAGCATCCAAATTTTGAACATGTGATCATAGGGATACTGCAATAATCGTAAGTGTGAAAAACAGTCATAAGACAACTTTTTTCAGTGCTTTTATAACTTTGAACAGTCACAAAATGAAAAGTTGCAAGTTGAGGGCTACCTGTACATATATTGTGATGATACCCAATCAAGCAGCCATTTTATGAATGATCTTCTTTCATGGCAGCCATTTTACAACTCAAAATTATAATTGGTTCTTATTTCTTCAGCTGAGTCTATGAGAGTGAATGTAATTTTACTAATAGCTAGAAATCCAAAATTACATTCAAGCTGCTTTGAATTTTTTTTTTTAATTTGATTTATATGCCGCCCTTCTCCGGAAACTCAGGGCGGCTTACAGTGCGTTAAGCAATAGCCTTCATACTTTTGTATATTTATACAAAGTCAGCTTATTGCCCCCACAAACTGGATCCTCAATTTACCTACCTTAGAGAGGATGGAAGGCTGAGTCAACCTTGAGCCTGGCGAGATTTGATCTTACTTTAATTGTAGACAGCTGGTGTTAAATTACAGTGCTTCTGTCTGTTGAGCTATCCAAGCTCAACAGACAACAAATTTGCAGAATTTGTTTTATTATATTAAATGCAGACCTCGAGTTGTTTGCACAACTCGAGTTGTTTCACACAAATCACAAGATTTCTTCATATATGCAACCTGAATTAGTTGAGAAAGCTCATTTGATGCTTATTAAAAGTTATCATTATTTGTGCATTAAAAATACTTGGTAATTTATTGCAAATTACTTTTTCTAGTAGGTCCTGATCTATCCTGGTAAATTTCTCTGGTAGGTTCTGATCTATCCTAATTTCATTCTTGGTCATCTCAAAAGTCCATCTTGTCCAGCATTTTCTTCCCATGGTCATAGATATTGTTGCACTGAAAAAGCTCCTTGTCACTAAGCTAGTAATTTGCTTGCAATGGAAGGAGGAGATAGTAATCCTTTCTGTCCTGGTTAAAATTTTGGCAACATTACATGATGGTCATAGGGTGATTTTTGGTACATTTGAGATTGCTGAAGATTCTCTGAAGCCCATTCCCCGATCTCATCTAGCTTGTCTCCCACTTGCAGGATATAATTAATATTGCTTGAAAGAATTTTTTCCCTAACCATCTGAAAGGTTCCTATGACTTTTTAACCATATAATAACTCAAAAAGAAAGAATCCTACAGAAATATGAGGAGCTTTCAATAACTCCCTCAGGTTGACCATGTCTTGCCTAGGATTATGTCACAAGTTCATATGGACTCACAGCTATCTAGAAAAAAAATTGTTCATGCCCCAAGTTCTCCTGGTACCTTCACCATAGCATAAGATCTGTCACCATCATCTCTTAAAATAAGACTCTGATCCTTTGGGATATGCAATCAGACACACACACAGAGAGACACACACCTTTAATTAAACTGCTCACAACTGAGCATCTACTTGTCTTCTTTGCAATTGACATTGTAACTTACAAGAAAGATGACTAGTTTTCAAGACCAATAACCATTAATAGTATTATCTTCCACAAATTTCTTCAGTAGAATCTCAGAACAAAATTCAAACTGGGCTATACAATGAAAAAAAGTGTGCTTTTTGTATGTATTTTCCTAATATAATATTTTACTATGCACACTTCCTCTTAATAGTCTTTTTTTTTTTTTAGAAAATGCTACTTATAGTATGCTATTGAGTTGCAGAGTTTGCAAAAGCATGGCATGAACAAATGTATTGAAATTTTACAGAGTATGAATTAGTTAGGTTTCAACTAAAGTGTCAGCTAAGGACATTTCTATCTCTTCTTATGCTAGAAATCCTTCCATCAAAACTGGTACTTTTCCACGAGACCCAGAGATGAGGATGGAAATATATATTATATGTTTTTAGCAAGCATCAGTAGCACTAATGAACATTATGTGCATCTGCAATATGACTTGATTTATGGAATATGGTGTTATTTAAGAAATAATGCTTAATTTCTAAATTACATTTCTGCATTTTCAACTATATTAAATTTCTTAGCTGATGGTACAAGCCACAAGACAATGACAAGCAGTTCTTCAATGATAGTTTTTTTTTTTTGTTTTTTTTTTACATTTCTGATTTTCCAGTCTGGAGGATTCATTGTTTTGGCTCGTTAGGTAATTATTTTCTGCTGGTGAATGTTCCACCATATGAATATACTCTTTTTCTTTATCCCCCCTGAGAATGATAACTGTTTCCTCTTTACAGACAAATCCTTGCAGCAGCAAAAAGGGCTGATCAAGTTGGTCATTTTCTGTGGGTGGCTTCAGACACCTGGGGTTCCAAAATGACTCCAGTAATTCAACAAGAAGATGTTGCAGAGGGAGCAATCACCATCCTGCCTAAGCGGGCAACCATTGAAGGTAAGCCCTACCTATTCTGTTGGCCTCCCTGTATAATTTATTTATTTTTCTTACTGATGCTTTACATAAAGGCAATCTGTGCAAACTGAATCCGTACAAAGTTATTTTTCATACATAACAATCTTCAGAAAATGAACATCAATGCAACCTAGTTGAAGAGGAGCCATTAGGCTGCTGATAATCTGCCTCCCTTCCAAATTCTGCTATTTCTACAAGTAATAGAAATAGCATTGTTTTTTTTAAAAAAAAAGACTTGAGAGGTTTGCAGTTGATGCTTTGAATCATTTCTGATGGTAAGAAATAGACAGCACAGTAGATATTTGAAGCATAGATGCTTTGCTGGCAATGCTATAGTTATATTTCACCTAAGACACTAGTAAAGTCTGGAGTGCTGATGTAGACTCTTGATGAATGCAGAGTCATATATATAGCAACTCACAGCAGATTCTCTAGCAGTATCCAGGATTCTGTATGCAGATGTCTGCCTGTTTGTTGGAAGTTTTCCTTTTTGTTCTTGGGTGCCTCCCAAGTCTGGTATGAAATAAGTCTTAGTCATCTAGAGTAGTTGGACTTCAACTCCTCTTGTATTTTGTAGCCTGTTCTCCTTTTGTTTGTTGAATATCTCCTATAAGGTGACTCTGTTTGTTTCCAAGTAGATGATTCTATTACTTTTAGGACCACAGCTCCTACCTCAACACCACCTTTGCTGCTTCATTGATGGTGGTAGATGTGGGTAAGGACGATGAGCAAAGGATGCTTATGAAATTGTACACCAACAGTATATGCTTCCAGCATGGGGATCACTTCAATTGCCTAACTAAAGCAAACAGGCATCTCTGTTAGGCAGCAGTAATATGGGAAGATGTTGGAGGTAATGACAGTAGCAGTGAACTCATATTGGTTAGGAGAAGACAGTGGTAAATCATTTCTGTACTTTACCAAAAATGACAAGGATAGATAATCTAAAGTGATTAATGACTTAATGCTTGATGATGAACCCCTGAGGTCAAAAGATACTCAATATGTTACTAAAGAACAACTGTGGAACTTTCACAGTACTAATGGTGTTTATTAGTATTATTAGAGCTAGATTAAAAACTTTGGAAAATCTAGTTGCTGCTATTGCCATGCAGGATGAGAAGATACAAAAACAAAAATACAGGGGGAACATGTAACACAGGAAGCATGTGCATGGGAAAGGTCAATAAAATGAAAGATGAAATGAACTGGCTACACATTGACATTTTAGGCATCAGCGAATTGAAATAGAGTGAAGTTGGACCCTTTCAGTCAGAAGATCATACTATTCACTACTGAGGATATAAAAAACCAAACGAAAAAGAAGGATGGCTTTGCTTTCATAGGGAAGATACAGCAAAGATGACATTAGAGTACAATGTAGTCAATGACCGAATATTATCAATTAGCCTTTGCATACAACCCTTTAATATGATGGTTATCCAAGCTTATGCTCCAACCACTGATCCAGAAGAACAGCAGCTTGATGAGTTTTGTGCTCAAGTCCAATTTGAAAGGTACAGAATGTGCAAGCAAGATATGTTCTTTGTGTATGAAAACTGAAATGCCAAAGTTCAAAATAGTAATTCTGAAAATGAAGTTGGATTCTGAGGCCCAAGAAAGAGAAATGAAATATGATGACTTACCAGTTTCTGCTCATCCAAAACTTCTTTCTAACTAATACAGTCTTCAAGCAACTGAAGCAATGCCTACACACATGGACATCACTATAAAAATAACACAGAAGTGTAGTTGTCTACATTACTGATACAAAGCGGTGGAAGCGCTCAATTAAAATGTTAACATGTCCAAGGATAATTGTGGAACAGATCATGGATTGTTCATATGCAAATTCCAAGTTAGGCTAAAATGGAAGGTTAAAAAAAGTATAACCTGTTTCCATGATGAGTGTATATCCGTCATTTTTAAGTAGAACATAACAAATCACTTTGAAGTCCTGAACACCATTGAATAGAGACCCAGAGGAATTGTAGAGTGATATCAAAATGTTCTTAAAGATGAATGCAAAAAGATACTGCCAGAGAACAAAGAACAGAAGAGAGCAAACTGGATGTAAGAACAGATGATGGAAATTGCAGAGAAGAACAAGCCCAAACCAGAAAAGACAAAGATCTCAAGAAGGAATTTCATAAAGAATTTCACAAAGCTGATAGATCAGACAAGAAGCACTATGTTGCAATGATAGCTGTAAATACATTATACCTGGAAACAGACATGGAAAAACATAGTTTTCCAAAAGTCTCTGAACTAAGAAGGCTGTTCCAGCCTCAAATTGATATGCTAAAGGATACATAATATTAGATTCAAAGAAGGTCAAAGATGGAAGGACTGTATTGGGATTCTGTACAATAGGTATGTCAATACTCAAGTTATTTGGAAGAACATGTTCTTTATAAGAACATGTACTTCTAGAAGATGAGTAGAATATCAGCCTAGTCATTACCCGGTCAGAAAGTTACAGGAACTAATGTATTATTTACAGAATAATATGTAAGGGAAGAAACAGAAGAGTACTCAGTAAAGATTCTAATAATTCCAGCAAATATGGAGAATGACACAATATTCAACAGATTGGAAGAGGTCAATCTACATTCCAATATCAAAGAAAGAAGACTTAAAAGTATGCAGACTATTGTGCAAAATCCTTAATTTCACATGCTAGAAAAATAATACTTAGGATCATCCATGAGGGATTAGAGCCCTGCATAGAAAGAAAAATGCCAGATGTTCAAACTGATTTTAGAAAAGGCCAAGGAATCAGGGTCATTAATCATGATGCATTATAGGTAATTGAAAAAGCCAGAGAATACAAAAACAGAAGTCAAATACTTCATTTATTAAAGAAATGCATTTGATTGTGTTAACCATGTAAAGCTATGGAATGTTATGGTGGTAAAAGGTATCCCTCCCATACAAATTGCTATTGCTATTGTACACACACAATCAAAAGCTGATCCTCAAGTTGTTGTTGCATAAAGTATAAAAGTTAATTTAGAACATAAATTGTTGTCGCCATGGATTTAATTTTTCTTGCGCTTCTGTTTAGGTTTACAGTAAGTATAATGCTGGTGCAAAATGTATTGGGTTTTTTTCTGTTCTACTCAATATAAATGCTGTAACAATACTCATTATCCCTTTGGGGCAACCCTTCCATCATCGTGCCCATGAAAAAGACATGGAAAAGAAATGGGGGATGCAATGGTAAAAGGTATCTCCCCATTCACATGTGAGCTGTATTCCCTGCAAACATATGAGATGCCCCCTCCTCTGCCCGATACATGCAAATTGCTCAAAGAGGCCCTTCTGGGAGTTGAAGTCCGCCAGGCTTTTTTAAAAATTATTATTAATTTTTAATTTTTTTAAAACAAACATGAAACATCTTTTCAAAACGAAGCTTTTGCTCCAATCACAAATTAAAACAAATCATTAACAAATCTTATTTTCAATTAATACAACTCAATATTTTAAACAAATATTTCCCTCAAATCTATCTACAGTACCTTAACATTTTACCATTAAAACATAGTTCTTGCATTAAACATATTTTTACATAAATTAATTAGTTTCATTTAACATTCTTAATTTCTATAAAAGCTTCCCTTTAATTTATTACAATCATCTTTACTTTATTTTATTTTTAATCACATTATCTTCATTTCCTCATCTGCAAACATAAATTTCCTTCCATTTTCCAAATTTTTAATTTTATTCTCCATAAATCCAATTAAATCTTTTTTCATATTTTTATTCTGGATATATATCTTTTACTAGTTTTATATATCTTTTAATAGTTTTTTTAAAATATTTGTACTGCATGTTTTTTAATTTTGGCTGTACACCGCCCTGAGTCCTCAGGGAGAAGGGCAGTATAGAAATTTAATAAATGAATGAATAAATAAATAAATAAATAAATAAATAAATAAATAAATAAATAAATATAATGTATCAAATCTCTTTCTTTTAAGGCTGCGCTTAATCCTTCTTCTATTCCTGCGCCAACATTCAAATTATTATTTGTTCAACTGTAGGAGTTCCATTGTAGATTCCTTTTCTTTTCACCAAAGTCCAGCTGCTTGCAGTCAGGAAAGAAAAATCCTCCTCCACAGTTCAGAATTTTTTTTTTTCTGTAGAGCTCAAAGTTCTCATAACAAAGGGAGGTTACAAAGTTCCTCTTTATGCCAGATGATGTCTCTATATAATCCACGTTTCCCATTAGTCATGCAAGATGCCATTTTATTTCTTATTATATAACCATCAACTTTATTTTCTTCTTTTAGTTAAAAAAAGTATCAAATCTTCTTTCCCCCCACACCTTGGTCCAATTCAAATTTTTAAAGTGTTTAGTCCTTTTACCATATCTCTAAATTAAATCTCTTAGTTCTGTTCCAAAATTAGTTGTTTCTTGGGTCTTTTTTCTTTAAAGTTACAGTTTAAAAAATTTCCAAAGCCCCTTTGTTACTTAGCCGCTGTTTTAGGCTAGGGGTCTTCTAGTTACTAATATAACTCCAAACGTTGTTACAAGCCTGGGCTGTTGTCACTCACCCGGCTTCAAAAGGCTCCATTTTACTTCACTTTCCTCCAGCACTTTTCTTGCCTGGTTGTCACAGCTTCATGGCAGCCGCCATGGCTGCCGCCCCCCGCCGCCAACTCACAGAGGCTTCCCTCTGATCTCCGAGGAACTTGCCTGTTCCTCTCGGTCTTCCGAGGTGCCCCTCTTCTTCCCCTGTCCCTGCAGGACAGGTTCAGTCCGCAGATCCATCGGCGGAAGTTCGGCAGTCGGGGTTTTCGCGGGACTCATCAGAGCCCGCTATTTCCCCGACTGTCTCGCCATGACATCAACCGGAAGCCCCCCAAGTCCACCAGGCTTAAAGTTGCCAAAGTTGGAGACCCCTATTCTAGTTCAACCCTCTGCCCAAGGCAGGAGTCCTTATATCATTCCAAACAAATGATTGTCCAATCTT